CCTAGTCCAAGCTCCATAGTCTAAGCTCCATAGTCCATATTCTATAGTCCAAGCTCAATAGTCCAGGTCCATAGTCGTACGCCAAGCTTCATAGGCCATTTAGTTTGAGAATAAGATCTGTCGAGAGTAGGGTAAGATCTGTCACGAGTAGAGTAAGATCTGTCACGAGCCCGTTAGGTTAGGTTAGGATTGGTGGATCATTTAGTTTGAGAATAAGATCGGTCGAGAGTAGGGAAAGATCTGTCACGAGTAGAGAAAAATCTGTCACGAGCCCGTTAGGTTAGGTTAGGCTTGGTTGGACCATTTAGTTTGAGAATAAAATCTGTCGAGAGTAGGGTAAGATCCTGTCACGAGTAGAGTAAGATCTGTCACGAGCCCGTTAGGTTAGGTTAGGATGGTTGGAACATTTAGTTTTGATTTAAATAGCCTTCCGTGGATTCAAGAAGAAACCAACCATTGCCGAATCACAATCCTTCGCGCAAAAGCATACTTCCTGGCTATCACCCCCCAAAAAAAAAGAGGCTCATTTTCAATAAACACATCCAAATTTACTACTGATGAAAATGCATTTCCATCTCCAGCAGAATCCAGCTCAGCATCGAGGCCGAAGGCCTTCCCCTGGCTAGTACTTCTCCTTCGGACTGGCCGGCCGGCAGTCTGAATAAACCATCTCAACGGGCAGCGGTGCCCGCACTGCCCCGCAGTGCCGCTGCTGGACTGGACTGTACGGGATGAGGTTAGGTAGCCGCTCAGCCTTGCAGCGAGGCCACCGCCGGGGAAAACTAACCACAAGTAAGGTAAAGTTCAAGAATCTTTTTTTGGCGTCTAGAACAATTGCCTGGGGAAAGAAGGCATGCGTCGAGGTAAATAAAGTTCAGTCATCTTTTTTCGACGATTAACCCAAGTTGAAGAGGCCGCGGAGGTGCCGCGCTAATAAGAAGAGATGGAAGCTGTTTCTCTCGGTGTTGGTCATCTTGGCCGCGTTGTTGGCGTGCCGCGCGGCACGTCCTGAGCGGGAAAAAACATTGTGCGATGGTGCTAACCGGTTATTCGCTCAAAGTCAACTCGCTCGCGGCGCGCGCCAAGCCGCGCCGAGCGGGGCCCAGCCTTCCGCGAGTGTTGTTTGACGGAGCTGGCGGTGCTGGGCGCGCTGGAGACGGTGTCGTCCGTCACGGTGCGGTCCCGGGGCACCGCCAGCACCGCCATGACGTGGCGGCGTGCTCGGCCAGTGACGCGCCGCTCCGGCCGATGGTTGCCGCGCGTTGCCGCCGCTAGGCCTGCCGCGGGGGTGATTCACGACTCACGGCGGGTGGGTCATCACCGCCATCACGGCCTCGATTGTCTCGCTCCGGTGCGGAAATAGAAGCGACCGCCGTCCTGGTGCGAGTCTTGGAGTCTGCGCGTCAGGGAGGTGTGGTGGCACTCCGCGACGACGCGACGCAGCTTTCCAAAGCGATAAACCTCCCCCTCCCCCCGCAGCAGCGTGATCGAGACGCAGGAAACGCATGCCGCTGACACCCACCCGCTCAAGGGCCCGGCTTGCTTGGAACAGCCGTGGCGGCGCGGCCAGTGTTTTCGTCCCCTTGCTCGCAAAGACGGCGGCCGGCCCTGCCGGGGGGCTCAGCACTTTGTTAGCGGGTCAAGGCTGGAATCGTGTCTGTTTGCTGATGTCGGCCCGGCGGGCTGTCGGGCTGGGGCTGGCTGGGCTGGGGTGGGGTTTCGTCGGAAGTCGCGACCAGGTGGGAGCCGAGTGGAGAATATTCTTGGCTTCCGTCGGCCGTGGCTCGGCGGCTTGGCGGCTCAGTGGCGAGGACGGGGATGGGGCGCGTGCTCGCTGACGGGCTGACGCTGAGGTCAGGGGTCACCCCGCGCCGCCCCGCGCGCTCATTTGCCTGCCTCCGCGGCCTGTCGCTCCTCAGCTCACTACTGTACAGCGGCCTTCCCTGGCCGCGCCGGGGCTTTCGCCAGCGTAAGGAAAGGCTTGCCGAAAAGCCGTGGCCGTCAGTCGACTCGCTCCCAACCAGCACCTGCCGAGGCACCTGCAGCCTGCAGTTGGGTCCCGCTCTGCTGCGCGGCGTTGGCGGCCGAGAGCGCCTTGCAGGTAGGCAACCCGCGCGCAGCCGTGCGTTGCAGAGCCGCAGCCGTCGGCGCGCAGGCGGCGGCGGCCGGACGGCGCCGTGGCTGTTTGGTCCGCCTTTTCTGACTCATTTCCTTTTTTGCCGCCTCATCGTTTTTTGTCGGTGTTTGCATTGACCGTGGCCGCGCCGCCGCGCCCGATGCAGGAGGCCTGCAAGACAGAGGATGCCAGATATGCCCCGCACGCGCCGGCTGGCCGCGGCTCGGCTCAGCCTTGGCTCGGCCCGTCGCGGCCAGAGTCTCTAGGACTGCACTGCACTGCCAAAGCTCCGGAGCCGCGGCGCCGCGGCGCTGGATGTCGGAAGCCAGGAGGAAAAGAAAGTCCCGCCCGAGGACAGGGAGCTTCGAAGTGCACTTTGCCGACTTTCTTCTCGCCGGGCGCCGAACGCCCTGCCAGCCCCGCCCGCGCCCTGGAGCAGGCCGTCAGCGCCGTCAGCGTCAGACCGTCCTCGCGGCTGCCAAATGAACGCGGCCAAAATGGCGCCTTTTCGGCGCGCGTCGCTTGGAGGCGAGCCGCTTCTGTTTGCGGAGCTTTTTTCAGGACGGCGAGGACGCGTCCTCCAAAGCGAGGCGCAAACAGTGGCGGGGCGTGCCGCGCTGGGGCGGCCGGGGCGGCCCGGGCCAACGCCATCATTACCCCGGTCTTGGGGACACGTGCACGCGCAGCACGCGCCACGTGCGCACGCCGCTGGGAACGTGGACGACGTGACGTTTAGGGAGGACCAAGTATTTTCTTCGAAACCAATTTTTTGACTGGAGTCATTTTGCGAGTAAATGGTTTGTGGTATTGTTTCATTTTGTTCAGACTACGGGAAAAGGTCCCTCAATGACTCCATGAGGCTTTCGACAAAAATTGGGCTTTAAAACACTCAGGTTTTCTCAAGTTTTAAAACTTTGGAGCCCTTTGGCATAACCTCTTCCAGTTGTCTGATCAAAGTGAAAATACTGTAATACTACCGACAACTTTTGCTGACCCAATGGAATCCGCGTTGCAATCGAAAACGAATGAATTTGCCGTCCTGTAACGGCACGAAGAAGGGCGTGTCCGCGTTCCGCGGCGGGTTGGCCGGGCTGGCCGGCCTGGCGGTCCAGATTGAGGGCTCCGCGGCTCCGCCGCTCCGCTGCTCCGCAGGCCCCGGCCTCCTCGTCCGCCTCGGCCAGGTGCACCAGTCCGCCGGCAGCCTATCTCCTTGATAGGCGACGAGGCAACACTGGCTGGGCCTGGGCCGGGCCGTCCGTCATAGTGCGGCCACGGCGCAGCGGCAGTCGCTCGGTCTCTCTCGTGCTTCAGCGGCACGCTCCGTGAGCGCGAGAGAGAAAGAAGAGTCCGAGTGCCGCTGCAGCGTGCAGCGCCCTGCCGGCGGCCCTAATGACGCCGTGCCTCACGTTGCTCGCCCTGCTGGCCCTGCTACCCGTTATCTCACTGCACCGCCTGGCACCGCCACGCCGAGGCCGTGATAAGAGGCCGTGCTGCACGCCGACAACGGCATGCTAACAGGTGGCCCGCCTTGATCCCCGCGGTGCAAGCCAGTGAACGCCTTCAACTCCTTGAACCTGCACTTGTTCCTCGAGGGACCGCCACCACCGCCACGTCGGCGACTCCACCGGCCGGTGGAGTGCCTGCACCGCCAGCTGCCGCCGCACATGTCCGTTTGCTGTACGCCGCACGCGGGGCTCACGCGGTGCTCACGCAGCACGCGCACCGAGCCAGACGTGCACCTGTCTCGTCCTCCATGGCGCGACTCCCCCGTGGGGCGGCCTGGCGGCATGCATCACGGATTAATTCATACTCGCCGTCGCCGCCGGCCGCCTGATTCCGAAGAGTCGCTTCTGTCTGTCTGAGCGGCGAAACGACTCTTCGGCGGTACATAATTCGCAGGCCGGCGAGCAAGGCGTCCTAGACGAAATTGGGCGTCGTGGCGGTCGTGGCGTGGGCGGCCTTGGCACACTTGACGCGCTGCAGAAGCGCGCCAGTCTCGTCGGAGGTGTGAAGGTTGGCGGGCCGGCCGGCCTGCTGTGTCTCTTCCTTTACTTTTTTCCGAGTCCGGTCGTCCGGGCCTCTCAGCCTGCCGGCTGGGCGATGCAGCCACCGGAGTCGGACGCAGCGGCGGCGGTTGGGCTGCCTACCCTCCCGGCGACCGGCCCTCCCAGCGCTGAGCGATCGCGCGCTCTTCAAGAGCCGTTGGTTCGGGTCGGTCGGGGTAGAATCATAAATGTTGTGGCGGCTTCGACGATAGCGCTTTTGTTTTTAACGAGCGAGGCTTTGAAGTGTTCCTGCCTCGCATATTTGTGGCTGGGAGTGAGTGGAAGTCGCCCGTGCCGTCCCGTCCCCCGCCCCGGTCCCGCTGACGTGCTCCCGTTCCCGTTTGCGTTTCGGCCTTTGGGTTGGTGGTCGGAGCTCCGTCCCGCGCCGTGCCCCCGCAGCCCCCGCGGGCGGCACTGCACTGGGCTGGGCCGCGCGGCCTTTGACCTTTCGCGGCCCCGCCCGCTGGAACCGCGGAGGTTTCGGGTTTCTGGGTCCCCGGTTGTAGTGCTGCTGCTGGTGGTCAGTTCGACTTAATTTGATGTCGATTCGATTGCTTTCAGGCAAAGTTTCGATCAGTAAAATCAGACCAGTGAAAGACAAAGAAAATTGTGGGCAGCGAACTTGTCGATCGTGTATTACTGGAATGGGAATGGAAATGGGCGACATCGGCGACGGCAAACAGCTTGGTTGGAGTTCGGCGAGCGTTGGCGGCTTGGCCGGTCTTGGCGCGAAACGCGATTCCCTCCGCGCGTGTTTTGTTTCGCGGCGCCCCGCCACGCCACGCCCCGCCACGCCACGCCCCGCCACGCCCCGCCACGCCGCCGGCCGGTGGAGCGGCGAGCAGACGGCCGGCCGAGTGTCGAGGCGCGCTGCCGGTCCTGTCCTGTCCGTCCCGCCGGCGTCCGTTCCTGTCGTTTTCGCCAAGCCGCCGATCGCGGATTGAGGCTTTCCTCAAGCTTTTCCGCGCTGCCCTTGCGTCCTTTGACCCTCCGAGGCCGTGTGCGAGTGCCGCCGACGCCCAGATGAAGCCGCGACGAGTGGAACGAGCCCGGTCCGGCCGGCTCTGTACCAAGAAAGCCAAGAAAGCAGCTGTCGCTACACCGCATAAGTGAGTTTGGGGGTTTTGCCAGTGCAGTGTCGGAAGTAGTGTCGGGTTTGTCAGGGGGTCGTGTCCGCTCCGGCCGCGACGGGTGGGAAGCGTGGGAACCCGGGCGTCCTACCTAACCTCAAAGACGAGGCGAGGCGTGTCCGCCGTGGGCAAACAACCACGCTCGGCAGCGCAAAAGGCGGCAGTGGCGTTTTCCCCACACGGTGCGCCCCGCGCGGTGGCCGGTGGTGCATCACCCCAGTTTGCAGACCGCAGCAGATAACCTTGTTGTATGGTGTCTGCGTGAAAATGGAAACTGGCTGAATGTGTTGCCGTTCTTTGTGTTTGCCGGCTGGGTGCACCCCATGACTTGTTCGGACTTGATTCGTTGGGGGCTATCGTTGTGGCGGTGTGTGGCGACGCTAGTGTCCGTTTTATCAGTGTGGCGTTGAATACGTTGTTCTCAGTTTGGGACTCCCGTGGTGGCGGTTGTGTGTGGGATAGTCACTGGAGATAGATATACTGGTTCTCCTTACCTTGCCGTGTGGCTACCCCGCGCTCAACGACGAGGGGAGAGGGAACGACCGTTCGCGGTCGCCGCTACTCCGCGCGAGCAGCGCCACGCGCGCGTGCGCTGTAGCGTCGCTACCCCGCGCTGCCTCCACTCCAGCGGCGGGAAGGCGCGCGGCGATACTCCGTGCAGACGCGCTGGCGGCTTGGCGGCTGGGGGGAGACATGTGGAAGTTGCAGCCTCCATCCACGGGATCCAGGGCCAGACGGCCAGACGATGACAAAAGGTTGCCTGCCCTTCCCCTTCCCTCCGCCCGGCTGTCTCCTGTCCCCTCTCTCTCTCTCCCGCTCTCCATCCCTCTCTCCCGGCTTCTCTCCCTGTCCCCCTCTCTCTCTCCACTCAAGGACCCGCTGCAGTTTCCCAACCCGTCTGGCGCTGTGGCGTTGCACAACCCCCGCCCGGCCCCTGCCCGCCCCGCCCCCCGACGGCGGTGCAGCGAAGGCCGCCCTGTCCTGTCGCCCGCCACGCCGCGCCTCGCCGCCGACAACCTTCCTGTCCGAAACCTCTTACAGGTCGTTTGGATTTCGCGCGGCGCTGTGGGCGCTCTCGGTCTTTTGGCGTTTGGGCGCGGAGCTACGCGGAGCTGGCTGGCTTGGGGCCACCGGGGCCCCGATACCCTTTTTGTTCGTCTGGGAGAGGAGTGGATCCGTCTCGTCCTCCTGGAGGAGCGCGTCCGGGGCGCGCCGCAGTTTGGAGGCAGCCGTTTGGGGCGCGATGGATGGGACGCATCCAGCTGAGTGAGGATGCAGGCACTGCGCTGTGCTGCGCTGGGTACTCTGCCAGACGCCGCCGTTTGGAACGCGCAGGCGGAGCAGGCGGCGTGGCTTTTTATTGCTCTATTCGGCGTCTGCCTTGAAATTGGTGCTGCCTGGAGCTGGAACGGCTGGAACGGGGAGCGTCGTCTCGCTGCCTGGAAATATTGAGAGAGGCTTTTGTCCCGGAGGCTGGAGGGTGCGTGCGCTGCGAGGCGGGGCCGTGGAAAAACTTTGGCTGTGTGTGTACCCGCCTGCCTCGCCTCCCAGCCTGCCAGCCCGCCAGCAGCCACATGGTGTGTTGTGGTACTTGTAAGGCCCCAGTACAAGAGCTGGTCTCTGTGAACGAGGTATACTCGCCTCGGTCCGTGACTGGCGCGGGCGGCGGGCAGGGGGCGGGGCGGGCGGGGCGACGGCGTACAGTCTGTACTGAGAATGTCAACGTCGCGTCGCGCCAGCCGCGCCAGCCGCACTGCCTTGGAAGGCCCCTGGCTGCGCCGCTGCGTTCCGCTGGCAAGGGCCTAAGTGCTGCTGCTGGAATAGTGCGGCTGTCAAAAGGAAAAGCGAGGTTTTTGTTCCTTGTTTTTGAGCAGCGCGCTGGCTTATTCGAGTTCGGCGGCCTGGAACGCGGCGGTCGTGACGCTCTGTGACGCCCCGGCCCGCCTGGCGTGGCTGGCGTGGCTGGCGTCACGAGTTACGCATCCGTATCGTAACAACGGCCAAGTCGCTCAGTGTTCGCCGACTCGCCTGGCCGCGCTGGCCGCCCCGGCCTGGCCCCGGCCGCACACGCTCACGTGCACACGCACCGAGGCTGTGCCATGTCTGCCATGGCTGTGCTGGTCCGACGAGCCCGGCGCAGCGCGCAGCCCAACCCCGAGGCGTTTTGCATCGCCGTGTGGGAGTGCATGGAGTGCATCGTGGCGTTGCGATCCGGGGGTGCTGCTTGCGCCGCCCAAGGCCTCCTTGATGGCGCCCTTGCGTGGTTGCCACCATGTCGGCGGTCGACCCCGCCGCTGCCCGGGTTCTGGGTTCAACTGCCCCCACCGGCCGCCGTATTTTTAGACCCTTTTCTCGCGCCGCGCTGAGTAAGCGCCCTGGCCCCCGTCTTGGAGTGGAGTGTACCGAGCTGTCGCTCGCCAGCCGTGTCGTTTGGTTCGAGCGTGGAGTGTACCGAGGCGTTCCCCCGGCACCCCTCGCCGAAATCGATCCGGCTGCTCGCCGCCTGCAACGCCAAACGGCATGGCCCCGCCACGCCCCGCCCCGCCCCGCCCCACCACGCCCCACCCACCCCCTGCCGACACTCGGGGTTGAAAACACGTGGAAACTGGTTTTGGGCCATTTTGGGGACCGCGACGACATCGGCGTGCGGACAGGGCTGTTGGTGGCGTCGTCGGCGTCGTTAGCAGCGCCTCGTCGGGGCATCGGGCAGCCCAAGGGGCAGCCCACTGGCAACGCAGTGGAGTCCTAATCATCAATCACGGGCCTCTCCTGGACCGCGGAGGGAGACGGCGGAGACGCAACGGCTGCCAGCTCTGCCTGCCCGCCGCCCTGCCGCTTGGCACCACGCGAAGTGCGCGAAGCCCAAAACGGTGCAGTGCGGGTGCTACGCAGTGCTAGGGTGTAATGGCCAAGTGAGGGCGTGTGCACCAGAAGGGGGTGGGGTGAAATATACGCTCGTCGTTAAAACTCGCCGGCCGGAGAGCGGGCGAGGCCAGAGAGCGAATTTGTTGCTTTCGGCCCCCCTTCTCTTTCCTTCTGCGTTATTGTTTATTGGAAGTTTTATTTATGGGCTTGGGACGGGACCCCGATGTCTCTTGCCAGGTGGAAACACAGTGGAACTTGGTCTTTGGCGCGAATGTGGTGGTATAATGAGTGTGGAGTTCCAAAGCCCGACAACGGCGGCGACGACTCAGCAGACACTCGCCCTGCCCCGCACGTCTCGCCCCACCGGCCCCGCAGCCCCGCCTGGGCCGCCGGGCCGACGGGACGGGCCCTCGTGTTGCTGCCCTGCGAGCCAGGCCTCCAGGCCGCCAGGCTTGCCGGCAGGCCGTTGCGCCCTGTTGCCACGTCATATCAGGCTGGCTGGCTGGCTGGCTGGCTCAGCTTGCTCCAGACAAAGGATAACTCAACCGCGTTCGAAGGGAGCAGGCGTCGTGCCGGGACGTCGGCGCGGTGGTGTCGCCGCCCTGTCGGCGGAGGAGGGAATGCCCTGGCGGGCCTGGCGCTGGGCCTGGCGCTCGCCCGCTGGGGGGACGGAACGTGTTCGAACGGCGTGGGCCCTTTCTGCGCCGCCTTTCTGCCGCTGGGGCGCAGCCATGACGCAGCCAGCTCCCGTTGGCGCCGCCAGCATCGCGTCGTCTCCCTCGCACCGCAACGGGACGCTACGGGACGCTACGGGTGCGACGAAGACGGGGCGACGAAAAGGTCCCTCGGACCTAGGCGGCTCGTCCCCCCGCGGCGCGAGGTTGACGATCGGGCGGCGTGCACCGCGTGCACCGAGTATCGACTCGGCGGCATAACCACAGATCGTGTTTGGCGGCCCTCGGCTGCCCGGCCCGGCCCTGCGGTGTAGTCGGTGTGACTGGCTGCAATTACCATGATGGCACCGTGGCGCTCGCCGTGGCGCCCCACCTGTTGTATCGATCGGGCGGCGGCGGCCCCGAAGGCCCGAAGGCAAGGCCCCGAAACCCCGGCTGCGGGGCGGGGCGGTGGCGCGATGGGGTGCATTGATAAGCTTTATTTGCCTTTTTATAATGTGTACCATCCCTACCTGGCTCGTAGATTAGGTGGAGCGCCCCGGTCTGGCTGGCGCTCCGCGGCGGGGGGTGTGCGCCCTGGTGGCCCTGGTGGCCCTGGTGGTGGGACGAGCCGCCGCGTGGCGTCAGCGTGTGTGACAAAAGGCAAAAGGGTACTCGCGCCGTAAAAGCGGGAAAGGGAGCGCTGCGTCGCAAGCCGCTCAAGCACCTCGACGTGTCGCCAGCCTCGCAGATAAACGTGCACAATCCGAGTGCGAGTGTTGGGTATTGGCAATCCGTTGGGCGTGGCGTGGCGGGGGTACCGCCTTTGAATTGGGTTGGGGCTGGGCGACAGTGAGTGACGCCGGGGCGTTGGTAAACCGAACCCGGGTTGTGTTGGGCTAGGTCACGTTTGGCGGTCCTGCCAAAACCACCGTCGTCGTCACGGGGTTTCAGAACGCCCCTCGCCGCCGCCGATTTTCCGCCAGGCTTTGTCCACCCGCCCGACCTGGGGCGACTTAGGGGCAATTGAATGTGATTGCAGCGCTGAGCGGCGCCGCGCCCGGTGAAAAGTTTGCCCAGCGTCTCCGTTCGTGTTGTTGCAAGTTTCGCCGTGTAAACTCTCTCGTGGACGAATGATAATAACTTTGCGTCTGCGAAAGTTGTTCTTCCACCCCGTCGCCGTGGTGTCCTCTTCCTCTAATTTTGAGCTCCCGCCACCCCGCTTGTATCTCTCTCTAGCGGCCAGCGCCGAGGGAATAAATCCACACTTAAACTCGCTCGTTTTAGCCTTTTTTTTTTCGGAACGCGAAAACTTCCCTGGATTGTCTCGGCGCGCTGACTCAGAACAGAACGCGCCCGGCGTGTCGGCGGCGTTCGCGGGGGGAAGCGAAACTTTTCCAAAATGATAATCAAGTCGTTTGTTGTATTTCGTGAGAAAGGCGTTTGGCGTGGCGTGGCGGT